CCTTAAAAGGGTGGCTCAGTTCTGCATTGTGTGTGACCTGGCCCCTAGAAAAAGGGTTTAACGTGCTTCCTTCAGGTGGTCTCCAGGACAGCAGCCTCTAGAGCCAAAGCTTCGGTGGGTTCCTCCTCGTAGTCTGACATGAAGGACTCCAGGCTCTGCTTGGCCAGCAACTCCCGCCGGGCCTGCAGGCGCTCACACCGGGGACAGCTTCCAGACTTGAAACAAGCTTTATGGTAACACGCTTTACACTCTATTCAAGGAGGGAAGGTGAGAGAGAAGGAAACAATCTGTATTATCTCCAGCTGGAAGTAAGTTGCTGCCACAGCCCCTCTTCACCACATGGCTCAGTGCGCCTGTGGTGAAACACAGAGTTTCTGAATCAAGCCAAACTCTTACTAATAGAGGTGGCTGAAGGGAAATAAATTAGCTTTGTGTTCAGTCTTATTTGCCCCGTCCACATGTGGCACCAACACTCACCTTCACAAGTCCGGCACTTATGGAGCTCAAAAGGGAAGATAATGTCATCTTCATTCTGACAGAACTCACAGATGAAGCCCTTGGCTTGGCAGAGCTGGGGAGGAAAGGGACAGGCAGCAAAATGTGGGACAGCATACCAGGAATGGGCACAAGAAGGTGAACACAAGCAAAGGGAGGGGCAAAATCTAAATGAGACTTGAGTGGGCTCTAAGGTGTTCCTCAGTCTTCAAAAAGAGACCTAGGCTGGACTTGGAAGCATGACAGCCAAACTAGGGCCAGGGATGGACAGTGTTGGACAAAGCTTTAAGATGGAGACAAGCCTGAGAAACTCCAGCCATGAGAGTGGCTCTCAATGAAGAGATGAAAAGAAGGAAGGCACAAAAGGCTTCCTAAAGCCAAAATTCCAGTCTGGACAATGATTTTATTTTGAAATAGGAACCACAGCTAATTAAGACAAAATTGTGAAGGCAAGAATATTTCTCCTCAATAACACCCAGCTTTGAGTCATATTATAGCTACATCTTTTCAATTGCCCTTGCTACACAGGATCTCTGTATATGCCCCATTTTAAGCTCTAATTCTGGGACTATCACAGGAACACAAAGTAGGCATATTTTTAAATGAGAAATCCTGAAAATGGAGCTTCTGGCATGTTGGGTAAGAACAATAATAATTTGAATCTACAGAATACTTAAAGCTTACAAAATGCTTTCACATAATTTATTTCACCAATCCTCAAAAATATTGAAAGAAAAGGACAGTGTATATTAATTATCCACATTTTAGAGACAAGAAAATTGAGGCTTACCCCAGAGAAGGCAAAATATTTCCTTTGGTCACAGTGACTGAAAATGATAAAGCCAAGACCCTCTCCAGATACAGGTTCTTTTCCCTTGTCATGACAATTTAGTGAAGATCTGCTTAGAACTGCCTGGTTACCCAGGGGTAATACCAACATCAAATCCTCTTCTAATTCTAGGTTCTTTAGATCTGTATGATTAGCTGTTCATCAACCCAGGGAATAGCGATCCTATCCAATTTCTCTTACAGTGTTGACACAGGCCCTTTCAACTTCCTGGAGCTAAATGGCAAGAACCCTGGGTCCACCCAACAACCCATATCTAAACAAGGGTCCGGTCACATGCTAAAGCAAGACTTTCTTACCATGCATCGCTCCACGTGGGCAGCCCCTGCCCTGGTGAGCTCAGCCAGCCGGGGCCCCAGCTCCCCTTTCCTGGTTGCAGTCAGGTCATTCAGCGAGTACAGGTGGAGATCCTCTGTTAGGTGGCCTGGAACTGTGTCAAAAGAATCCAGAAGGCTACGGGAGATGAGGGGAAGTGGATGGAAGCAGAAAATGATTACCTTGTGTGGTACAGAGTAAAAGAATCTCTATCCAGAAGCAGGACAGGGAAGAAAAGGGTCCTGGGCAAAGATAATGAGGGTGGGCAACACCCAGCCAACCCAGTGTTCCAGGCCACCCCAACTCTCCCACACTATCAGGTGTCTGGATGGGAGAAGTGACTTTTATACCCTTTTGCAGAGTGATTCATGCCAGCTGGCAAAGAGTGGTAGGCCTGCCCAGATTTCCCCTTTCAGAGAGAAGAATACAGATACGGTTACTGCTGTAGCCTTCTCATTTACCATTTCTGGAATTTTCTGCAAGATCCCCCTACTCTCTTCACATAACAAGGGCAACTGCTGGGACATGTTTCTTTCAAAGACATTAGTTCAGCCAGAGGCCTCTGGCCTCCATTCAAGACTTACTCTTTGGCCAATCGGCATGTCTTGAACATGTTCTTCATGTGGTACAGTTGGATCCGCAGCAGCTGAGGAGATAGACATTGCAGTGGGGAGTGGGGGGTAAGATGGGGTATGAAAGGGAGAGAAACAACCATAAGACCAGTACCTTTAAACCTTGAGGGTCTGGAAGGCTTGCATGCAGCAGCCAGAGCCAGACTGTTCTCTACATCTGTAACTCAATAACTTGCTTCAAAGTGATTTTCGGTCAGGGAAGTCCCCCTGCTAGGTCAGTCTGTCCAAATCACATACACAGCTAGGAGCCATCGAGATATCCAGAATTTGAATTTTCCACCTGATACCCTACTCTCCATTTATAACATTTTCAGTGAAGAAAGAAATCCTGCTTTTACCATTGAGTGCTACAGCTTCAGAGCTGCCTTGGCAGGTTTCGGACTCTAACTAGACAGATACCTGGGAAATAGCAAGAGAAAGTACATAGAGAACATGTGGATGATGAAATGGTTATGGCTCTGACATGGTAACAGAAAGAAGGGTGGTGATCTTGGAAAAGCCTATAGGAACACAGAGAAGGGATGAGAAGGGTAATCTGTGATGTGATCTTTTCAAGGGTCTTACCCTGACTTGATTGAGCAGCTTGACCTTCCTATAGAGGGCGCTGTTGATGTCCTGGACATTGAAGAGTGGATCATTCCAGATCTTAATGAGCAGGTCCTTAGAGAAATTGCTGACATAGTACTTGCTGAAGTCCCACTTGCGCAGAACCCGGCTGGGGATAACCACCTGGGCGTTCTCATGGCAGCACTGACAGAAGTACTTGCCCAAATACTCACAGTACCGCATCCGCTTGATATAATCTGGAAAAACCAGGCAGTCAAAAGGTCAGCTGTGGCTTCCCCATCTATAAACTGGTGAGGCACTCTGCTGTTCCTTTTGAAAGAGCGGGAAGGGATGGCCAGTGGGCTCTAGAAAATTCTGTTTGAGCTCCCAAAGCAAGCAGAAATCCATATAGCAGGGACTATGGCTTGTGTGTGCCACCCTGATGACCACTCAGGGAACGAACACTGCCAGAGTTGGCAAAATTCAGCTTCCAAGGACCTAGCCAAAAGTACCCAATTTTCTCTAGTATACAATCCTAGTAATTGCTCCCAGAAATAATTTCCCTCTGATTGCCAGTGTTATTGCCTAGTCCTATGTCTTGCCTAGCCCCTTCCTTCCTTTTCCCTAATTCTGCCCTGTCACTTCCTCTTACTACCTCTCTGACCAAGTTGTGTGAGCAGGTAAAGCCCTTGGAGGCAGTACTAGGATCAGAGAAGATACTCACCAGGGTCCGTCCTGATGCCACATCCTGCACAGCGGTAATTCTGCTTGGCCACAGCAATTTTCCTCCTGAGGAAAGGGGAAGTAAAGGGGATTGGCAGATATCAGCTATATGAGGCCTCTGAGATGTAAAGGATGAAGATACAAACATAGGGCTCTTGTTAAGGATGGAAAGAGAGGGAAATTCACTAATTTCTTAAAGTTGGACAAACTGGACCTATTGGGAGAACCAATTCAAACCAAGGATTATGTGGTTAGAATTCAGGTCTAGGCAGTGACTCTCCCCAGTAATGAATCACACTTTCTGTACAAATCTAAGAGATGAGAAATAGTAAAAAGGAGAGACAATAGGAAAGAAAATCATTCACCCATCTGTAAAAAAGAAAAACCAGTAAGCTCACAAAACTGTTAAAAGGAAGGTAACAGGTTGGCAAGGCCAACGATGAAAGACCTCATTTCTGGGTAGCTCTAAGGAAGAATAGGAGGATTAAGAGTAAGACTTACAGACAAGATGAATAATCCTCTCCCTCTACCTCTTAGAATTCTGTGGGATATACAGCTGGAGGCAGAGACAAGAGGGTGAGAAGACAGCCCTGACAATCTAAAGAGAATATATCTGTTTTTCAAAAGGCATAGCCTCTGGTTACTCACGTTGGGGCTGGATGAACATTAAAAATTATTTGAGGCCGGGGTGGGGCCCACTCCAGGTTGCCACGAACACGAATACGCAGTTTGTAGATGTCAGCATGCTGCCCATCATCTGGTGAGATGGGCAGTGAGTTGGGGATGGGCAGGAGCTGTAGGAGAAAAGCGCAGGGTGATCTAACATGGGCAGTCCAGGGAAACACATGTTTGACCCTTCTGGCCATGACAGGAGCATAGTCAATGAAAGATATGTCAGGAACATCATAGGTAAGGGCTTCAGGGAACTTTGGCTCTGAAACCATAAGGTACCAGGCTACTATAAGTGAGAGCCTTGGGTTCCAAGAAGCAAAAGAAACAGAAACATCATCCCAGTAGTAGCACCCACTGCTGATACTGTAACTGAACCTTCCCCAGGACCCTTGATATTCCAGGGTGTTTCATGCCCTACTCAACTGCAGAGCAAAGAAGAATCTGAATGATTCGCTTTTCACCATGTCTCAAAGGTGGTTACAACATAGGAGGAGTTCCACCTCTGGTCTAGTGAGCAGTCATATGGAAAAAGGACAGTGAAGGAGCCATTATCTCCTGTTTTGACAATTGCTAGAGAAAACCTAGGCAAGCATTCACATTCATTCATTCAACAAATTTGTAATGAATGGCTTTTGTAAGGAAGGAAACACATAGGCTCATTCTAGACTGGGGACATGTGACAAAGGATAACAATATCAGAAAAGCTCACAACCTCCAGGGGCTGGACAGTGGGTAGAGAAAAAGAGCTGAAGAATTTACCTTCTGGGGGGCATCATGCTCTGGAACTAGCCACTCTAGCTCCGAGGCGGCTGGGAGCTGCATCCCCTCAAACTGCTTCAGGAGCCCCATGGCCACTGCCTCAGCAGATGTGGAGTGTAGGAAGCAATGGGAGCTGGAAAGGAGAGATTCAAGGAAGGCTGAGCATAGAGAAAAGGCAGGAACCTTTCCTTCAGGACTTGATACCACTTGATACCAGGACTTCTGGGCTGAGAGAACACTCGTAGCACCCCCAGTCTGCTAAGCTTCTCTTCTCATCATCTTTAGACACATGTGTATAGTGGAAAATATACTGGTCTTATAGTCCTAAGACTTACTAATTCCCCTTACTAGCATTGCATGGCAGTGCTAGTTAAGAATTCTGCATCATTTCCTTTCTCTAAACTTCAGTTTCTTTACTACAAAATGAGGATTATAACGCCTGAGGAAACTTGTTTTGTGGACTATAAAGGGCTATTGTTGCTCCCAAATGAGCTACTATTTCCCCTAGTTGAGCTTACAATATGGAAGCTGTTCGATTTGATTTCATGGTCAGAAATCATGATCACTGTTTTCTCTCTTTTAAGACCTAATCTTCTGGGGGCCTCTAGTATAATCAGTCAAAAGAGAAAGAACTATCCACACTGTGAGCTTTGCCTCCACTAGAGCCCACTCTGTTTAAACCAATGATTTTCTGTTTTCTTCCCTTAAGTGTGCCACCGTCAGGCAGGCCCAACACTTTAACCTTGCCTCTGTGTGAATGTGGACGGCTTCATTCACAGCTTTCCCATCCATATGCCAAGAACTCAGTCTGTTTTTCCACGAACCCGAAGGTTTTGTTTTTTTTTTAAGTACTTACTAGGACTGGGAGGAATTCAGGGATTTGTTTGAGGTTGTGCTCCTTCTGATGTCAGCATCTAAATGGAACCAGAGATAAAGAGAGTAGGAAATGGAAATGGAGGCAGTAGGGGATAATAATGGAAACCATGCCAAGCTATTACCACCTAAGCATTCAAGGTAGCAGCTAGGTGCTACATTCTATGCAGGATAAAGAGGAGAATCCAGGTGAAGCTCTACAAACAATTTACAGTTTGGCTCTGTTCAAGTCACAATCAGGCTGAATTAGTGACATTAAGCATAGCACTTAGAAGGTCAAAGTGGCTACAAATCCAGGTAGAATAACAAACTCAGACATGGTACAAAACAGTGAACAAGAAAAGGAAGCACCCTAAGCCACACAAGGTCATACCCTACACCAAGCAGAAACACAAAATAAATTACTTTAACCTCTCCCTCATTCTCTAAATCTCAAGCCCTCTTAAATAATAAACTTCCAGAGGCAAGAACTCTACCTAGCACTTTTTCATATCAGAATCAGTACCTAAAACAGAACTTGAATCACAGTGGTTACTCATTAAATGTCTGTGGAATTGGAACTTTGCTTCTAACATCTGATCAATATTGCTATTACTCATGAATGTGAGAAGTCTTCCATATCCTTTAAAAAGCTTCCTGGAAAGATTTCCTTCCTGTCTGGTGGCACAAGGAAGAAAAGAACTTCTCTACGGCTTGGTGGCTCCCTGGAGATGCTTGGTAACTAACAAATTTTCATGGAGCTATTCAACATGATCTTTACTATAAAATTCACAGGCATAATTACAGAAAACTATGGCAGACTTTCCAAAGCATATTTCTGATAAATGATTTTGAAGATGATTTCTAATAATGATATGCCTGAACCTCCAGAGACCTCATCACCCAAATACTTTTGATGGGGAGAATGTGAAGTATAGCAGTCATGTTTAAGAAAGGCAGAAAGAATCGACTCAAGTCAGGAAAACAAGACTTCTAATAAGTTTCATCCTTCATTTCCTTTGATGCCCAGTGAAAAGACCTTTCCCTAATGAAACCTACACAAATGATCAATCTACTGCATTTAGCCCCTCAATAGAGCACTAAGATTACATGACATCATTCTGCACTTGGCCATGAGTAGCTCAATTGTTCTTCACATTTCCTATCTCTATATTCTTGTATGCACCATTAGATTATAAAATCTCTTTGTGAGGAAATGAGGTTGTGTCTAATTCTTCTGTTTAACCCCAAAATACTTAACACAGGGTTCTGTATGCAAGCATATATTCAAATAATAGTCCTGACAAATCAATGTCTTCAAAGCTATATATATATAAGAACAGAATTGAAATCTGTCAATTTTCATACACTCTCTAAGCATAGAAAAACTTAAGAAAGCAACAAATTTTTGACTATTGGGATCTGGATTTTGGTGGTGCAAATTCAGACAGATAATTATGATATATATATTCCTATTCATATATATTCATATTCATATATATATCATAATTATGTCTGAATTTGCACCACCAAAATCCAGATCCCAATATACTGTTAGTTGTCTATTCCATTCTAAAAAGTGGTAGTGGAGAAAAAAAAAAAATTGTAGGCAATAGTAGACCTTCATTGACCATTGGGTTTGTAACATTTATTTGAATAACACTTACACTGCCTTGGATTGTACTTAAGTCTTGCCTTGTCCTTATAACCCTCAGAGTGATTTCTATATAATGTTTTTATATTTTCTAAATAAATGATTAATTGGCTAAAAGCAAAAAGCAAATTTGAGCCTGTTTCAGAGTGACCGAAAAGGAAAACTAAGAGAAAATCTGAGATACCCTTCAATAAAGAGCTAACTAACGTTGTTACTTTACGGTCAGGCTATTAAAGAAAACACTTCACACCAGAGAGGAGAGGTGGCAGATGGTTGGTAAGGAAACCATCGTCTTCATAAAAACTATTTAGTGATTCTTCATCCTCACAAAGTCTTTTTTTTCTTTGAGAGGAAAAAACGGTCTCTCCCCTTTGGAAAATATAGTTGTCATATTTATCACGTTTCTTCTTTTTCACTAGATTTCCTATCTAATCATGAATACTTCCCAAGAGTGCAGAAGACCACATGGGTTTAGATGTAAGGCTCTTGCCCCAGGAGTAGAGAGGCTGCACCTGATATCAAAAGGGACTTGACACCTGTCACTGGTAAAGCATCATGAAGGCCTTGTGGGTACGGGGCCTCTGCTGCATTCTGTTGACTCTCAAGTCAGTTCAAGCAGATAATTTATTGTGACTGCAACACCAGCCGAGGATCTGGATAAAAGCAGCCCAGGGCCTAAGGCAATTAAGGAATAAAAAGAGAGGAAGAACCTATTCATCTCAATGGATCAAATGTACCCCAAATGAAAGCATTTTAGAAAGAAGCCTAAGAAGCTCGCCTTCCAAATGGAAGTTAACATACCTACGAAACCTTTTATTGACTCATTGACAAAAACTCATTTCAAACGCTTCTGATGTGTTAATAGGATAAGGCTACTACTACTGATTGAAAAAGTTCAAAAATATAAAAACAAATAACAACAAAAATAATGACGTTATAAAAAGAATTTTTGCACATCCAGACACTGGTATTAGGATGATCAGGGAAGATCTGGTTAAAAACTCAGTACCCTAGCAAATTCTACAAATTCTTAAAATAAGTGAGGCATGGGAATAGAGTCAACTTCAGAATTTACTGTCCAGTTTGATGTTGGTTTCCATCTTGCTTTCCTTCTAGCAGATAAGGTGACAGCCAACACATCTAGAAATCTGACTCCAGTGAATTTTCTGTAACTGCTGACTTAAGAGGAAACATTTCAAAATGGAGAACCAAAATACTATTTTAAAGGAAAAATTACTAAAAAAAAAAAAAGGATGGTGGGGAACAGCAACTGATTACCATGAACTGGATACAATTTAAAAACTTGTCAGAAAATACAGTCCATGAACTTCTCTCTTTATATATGTTGCCAGTTACAAATTTATTGCTGTTCAGCTTCAAACCTGCCCTTTTTTTGTCTGCTCTGTGACAATGAAGCTGGACTTGTAAACTTGTAAACAATCTTTTGCCAGCTGGTGTGATGTTAAGCTTTGTCAGTAGAGGGCACTGGAGGGACACTGGAGAAAGGAGAGGTTTCTCTTGCTGGTTCTGGTGTGCTCCTCTAGGCCAATTCCTGTAGTGCATGAGACTTTCTCCTGGCTAGGCAAGCCTTCGGGCAGCTTTGCGGCAGAGTGCCACTAGTGGTACTTCTCATAAATGGCTTCCCATGGCACTTCCTGAGAAAGCTTCACGGCAAGTGCCACGTGCCATGAACCACTTCCTCCAGCACCCTTGAGTTCTGAGGCATGGCACATCCCCGGGGGAGACCTCCTCCAGCACTCCAGAGAATGATTTCCTGGTGAGGGCTGTTGGCATGGCACCCATTGTGGACAGCATCCCCTGACACTCAGGGCAGCTCTGCAGTAGAGAAGTTCTCTACCATCCACTGAGCCAGGTCTGAATTGCTGCTTTGGGGATGTGGCCCTCTCTTCTATATTTGTTCCTATCTCAGCCCTCTGGGTAGTGACTGCTCCCTATATCTGCTCTTCCTGTATGTTTTACCATTCTCTTTACTCCTAATAGCTGGTTTCTCATTATCTCAATCTCCCCCATTAAAATTAATAATTCTTTATATTACACTTTCCCTATTCAGATTACTGAGTGGTTTCTGTCTAGATACATATGTACAGAAGACTAAAATTCTGTAAGAATCTATCAAGAAAGATAAAGAAGAATTTATGCAAGCGTTAATAGAAGAGGACAAGGGGGGGATAAAAATAACAAAACTCTAAAACTAAAAAAAATTGAAAAGACTATCTGGAATTGGGATCTTATAAAAGATATCATACCAACTGGCAGACACCATTAGAAGAAACAGATGAGGTGAAAGAAGTCAGACACAAAAGATCGTATGTTGTATGATTCTATTTATATGAAATGTCCGGAGAAAGTAAATCTATAGAGACAGAAAGTAGATTAACAGTGAACTGGGGCTTAGGATAGGAACGAGAATAACTAAATGGACACAAGGGATCTTACTGGGGTGATCAAAATGTTCTAAAACTAGATTGCAGTGATGGTTGCACAACTTTGTAAATTTACTAAAAAGTATTATACACTTAAAGAGAGTAAATTTTTATATGCAATTACACCTCAGTAAAATTGTTTTTAAAAAGAAATGTTGATGAACACAAAGCTTTCTATGAATAAGCTTTCTATGACCACAAGGTTTATATCTACTTTATTGCTAGGAAGTAACTTTCAAATCTATTTCCTTCAGAAATACTTCTGCTCCATATTATCTACTCAATGAATCAGGCTCTAAGAAATGTGATTACATTAAGCAGAGCATTACAATATGCAAAGTATTTATCACAATGTCTACAATATGATACTTAAGTAATTTTTCCAAGGATGCTATGGATTCTGACGATTTTCCTATGATAGTATCCCAAGAAACTCTTCAATAGCATAAATCACTTAAGATGATCAAAAAGAAACACGTTTGTAAACCTCTAGACATGATCAAAAAGATTGCTAATGAAAAGTATGACACTTTTTAGAAAGAATCTGGTACTAGTAATAAACTTGAGTAAAGACCAGAAACATGAAAAGAGAACAGAAAGCAATAAAGAAATCTAGAGAAAAATGAATTGTATATTCTACTTTGATAATTGGGACTCTGCATGTATAAAGAAGATAAAACAAGTCACTACTTTTGAGAGAGGCTTGATCTGACAGCTTTCCCCCAAGACTCCATAATGTGTTGGTCACAAGAAAAAGTAGTTTTTTTATTGAAAAAATGGTTCACATTCTTGATGTATTAAAAAAGCTTTAAAGTTCCCAAACGGGGGAAGAAAGGATGCTAAGACTAAATAAAGGTATACTTTATGGTTAAAGTGGGTGCAGTCAATTAATGCAACAGCAAAGGGCTGTGGTTATAAACACATTAGAAACCAGTTAAAAAGTGGCTTAAGTTAAGTACTTCTCAAGTAAGGGAAGAATAAATTTATTCTATGTTAGAATAAATTATAACAGTTCAGGAGTAGAGAAAAAGGTAACTAATTACTTTTATTTCTCTAAATCTTGATCTAATCTTATGTAATTATTTCAAATTCTAGTAGCTGACAATATTAACAGTAAAAATTAACTGTTTAATAGAAAGTCCTGAGTTTTGTTGTTCGTGTGTAAAGCCATTTTGAGCAGAAAACTGCCAGTTTCTTTCAGTTAACCTCCCCCTCGCCCCCCTACAGAAAGCCAACAGCACTAAATTCTAATTGTATACAAAGTACCTAGAGGAGAGAACTTTCTGAGAGCTGGCTCTCAGAATTCAAAACTCTTGAAGAGACACTAAGTTTCATATAATTCTGACTTTTGCTGTCTGGATGTGTGGCCATAGCTTAACTATGGGTTCGAACTGAAATTTCTTCACTTAACCATTTCTTTTTAAACTGTCTACTACTTCCGTCAGCCATAATGACCACTTAGTTTATGTATCACCTAAGGACAATCTCAGTGAGGAGGACTGTTGGGGGTTATATGAGGAAAAAGAAAATGAGTACCTGAAATGTTCCTGGATAGCTTAAGCCCCGTTTTTCCCAGCTAGTTTTCTAAATACTATAATCCTTGTAACCTCGACAGGTATCACATGATAAACTACATACAAAGGCTAGTGCAAACATTCACACACATGCAGGTATGAGCCCACCCACACTTCCAACACAGGCTACCTGAAAACATCGAAGCCATTGACACTGAGAGTCCATTCTTTGACATGTGAGTCAGGTTAGATCCTTCGCTACCATCTGTGTAATAATTATAAAAGTGGGCCCTTTAGTATTTAGACAGGAAGTAAATCAACGAGAATGACAGTTCTAGACATGTTCCTGGAATCAGGACTTGACTTAAGCTCCAAAAGACAAACTATTTTTAGGAACCTATACCTACAGTTTTACTACTCACTATAGCTTTCGTTCTTAACCACGGGGGGATTTTGCCAGATTTGCTATCTGGCAATGTCTGCAGACATTTTTGATTGTCATGGTTGTGGGAGAGTGTGGTGTGCTATTGGCATCTAGTGGGTAGAGGCCAGGATGATGCTAAACATTCTACTATGCACAGGATAGTCTACCATAGCTAAGATTTATCTGGGCTAGAGTTTGAGAAACTCTGCCCTAAGGTCTTTTTCTTCAAGGATTTCTGTTCTGATGAGTTAGCTGATTGCAATTATCTCTTCTGGGCCCACTGCAGCAAGAGTTTCCAACAGAGGGTGCATTTCATGCTACCCCCAGGCAGACTATTTCAAATTTGGCTCCTTCTAGATTAAACAGATTCTCCTGGCTCCTTGCTTTGCTGCAAGGAACAAACTTATCCAAACCCAGTGAAGCAGCAAGTTTTGAACTTACCTAGATATTACCCTCATAAAATTCAGACTGTTGATCCTGAGAGAGAAGGTAGAACCCTTTTTATTTTCTAATTTGAAGATCAAATCAGTCAAACAGTAGTATAATATAAAATATATTGGTTTTTGCCCCAATTCCTGGCACAGAGAGCTCCTTAAGCCCTTGGAATTTCCTAAGCGATAGGAATGTCTTTTGTTATCCATAATGAGCCACTTTTCATTATATCTGAGTTTATGCTAACAGGGAGACTTTCAGGGCATCTAGATAGCTTCAGGACAGAGCTTGTTGCCAGAACTTTTAGCCCCATGTCTGATCTCCTGGGAGGGGAGAGGGGCTGGAGACTGAGTTTAATCACCAATGGCCAGTGATTTAATCGCGGATGCCTACATAATGGAACTTTGATAAAAACTCACAATGATGAGGCTTGGGGTAGCTTCCTGGTTGGTGAACAGACTGATGTACTGGGAGAGCAGTGCACTGACTCCATGAGAACAGAGGTTTCTGGGCTTGGGACACTTTGGGACCTTGCCCTACATACCTTTTCATGTACAGCCATTCATTTGTATCCTTTATAATAAACTGTGATTGTAAATATAGTGCTTTTCTGAGTTCTGCGAGTCATTCTAGCAAATTATTGACTCTTGGTGGGGAGTCATGGGAACTCCTGAATTGGCTGGGGAGAAGTGCAGGGAGCCTGGTGACCCCATTTGTGGCTGGCATCTGAAGTGGGGGTAGTTTTATGGGACTGAAAACTTAAGCTGTGGAGTTTGTGCTAACTCCTAGAGTTAGTGTAAGAACTGAATTATAGAATACTTAGTTGGTCTCAGAAAATTAGAGAACCATTGTTGGAAAACCACATACGAACAAAAAAAATGGAGTTTTAAGTGACTATTATTGTCATAAATAGATATCAGATACTGTTAAGGAGAACACAGAAGAAAGACTTCCTAGCAACCTAGAAAAAAGTGTAAAAATCGTATTTCTGCATGGGGAGGAAACCCAGCTACCACACCTGGAGGTCTGTGCAGGTGAATGGGTTCTCTAGACTAATGTAAATAGGAAATCAGAGCCTCATGCAATAAAATGTTCATCATCATCTTACAATGGAGAATTACAAATATAATTCACCTCTACAATAAAATTACTCTGGGTTTCAATCATGAGGGAAAGCTTATGTCCCTGAACTGTTTGTTGTTATTGTTATTGTTGTTGTATTGATGGGAACTTGAAGAAATCTATGATTTGCAGGAATGGATTAACCCATTAACTATGGGTTAGCCTAATTAAACACAACTGCTTTCTCAAATTAGAACCCTCCTCTTCTCTATGAAGATCCTTATGACAAGCACAAGAGTCTGTAAGCAATTTACCTAGCACTGGCAGGACAGAAAATAAAGCTCTACTTTGTAAACTTTTTTTCATTTTTTGCTTTTATTCCTCCAATGACTTTTTCTCTTTTTCTCTTAGGATTGTAATAAAGCTCCTTTTAAACACCTTGAAACAATTTTAGTTGTGCTATGGAATACAAGAGAATAGGATTCTAATTTCACATAGGCATGGGCCAGCCCTATGCCCTTAGCAGGAGGAATCAGGGTAAGAATCCAAGTGAATGGTGCAATGAGGAAGAAACATCAGGGCGACTTCAACAGCCAACTCACTCCACCGGAACACTTTCTTTCAGTGTTAGTTTCGGCTTAAATTTTAAAGGAGTGTTATTTTTAGCAAGAGGGGCTAACCCTTACAATAACTAACATTCCATAATGGGCCATATTGAAGGTCCCCTACTTAAGGAAAGCTTCTCAGCCTATGATTCCAAATCGAAAGAAAAGGGTAATGAAAACTCCTTTGAAATAAACTGTCACTTCTTACCTTGTATTTCAACTTCATCAACCTCATCAGCAGAGCCAGAATCAGAGAACTGTGCCGAATCACGTGAACTGAACTGGGAGCTGCTGGAAGTGACCCGAAAGCCTGTTCCATTAGAAAAAAAAAAAAAAAAAAGTGGGAGAGGGAATAAACAGGACAGAAAGACATCTTCTCCTCCTTCTAGGGTCACAATGAAAGGGACCTGCGCAACTTCAATAGAACCTTGGCTGGGAGTGATGCTGGGCTGGGAAATTGGAAACTAGTTCTTCTTACTGGTTGATATCCATTTTATTCATGAAATTTAGAAAGTTTCACGTAAATACAAAGTACAACTGTGAAATGAATCTAGGACCAATGGTCTTAGCACTCATATTAGAAACCTATGTTTTGGAAGATATTTCTGAAGTGGGAAATGGATGAACTCTAGGTCTCTGGTCTGGTAGGAAAACAAATATAGAACAACATAGAAAATCTTTCTGACAGAGGAATAACCCTTGGCTTGGTTATCACATTTCAAATTAAGGGAGACAAAAAGAAAGCCTATGAGGCACCAACTCTTATCCTGAAGCCCGGAAGAAGCGGGAACGGAGGTGTTCACAGCCTCACTCACTTCCATGCTCAGTCTCCTGGTATGCAGGGAGCATATTCTTGGTGCGGATCTGCTGGCGACGAAGGCGGATCTTCTGCTTCAGTTCTTGGATCTCTGTATCGCTGTCTTCCCCCTCTTCTTCCTCCTCTTCTAGGCACTGGCTCATCATGTTGCACTTCATTAGTTCAATGGCAGCAATTAAGGATTCTGAGATGCTGAAGTGGGCATTCTCCTGGGGGAAGGAAAGCACCACAGAAGTTGCTTAGCAAAGGGCTGGAGATATTGAATGCCTCACTGATTATAATGTTGGAAAACAGGGGTTCCAAGGCATGCACTGCTTTTATTCAAAATGCCCAGGGAAAACGTACACTTCTACTGTAAGGAAAGCTGACGGTCAAAAAAACCTGTCCTATATTCTTTTTGCTCTCAGATCTGTCCATGCCTGGCCTTCCTGCCCTACTTTCTACATAAAAATATAACAGAGAAGAAGTCCAGAATTTCATATCAGGGTCTTTTCTAAACCTATACACTTATACATAAAGTATTAAGGTAAATGTGATGTCTCAAGATAAAGTGCTTTGTAAGTTATAAAATGATACAGGGACATTATTTATTACATATCTAAGCCTTAGAACAAAATATAGAAGCTGATTCTGGAAATATATAGTTTTTCCCTAAGGTTCCAGGGGTCACAGAAACAATAACATGGCTGAAATTCAATGCTTCTCTACCCAAGGCAGCTTCTAAGACAAAAATCAGTAACATTCTTGGACTTGATAAAGAGCATTTACTCCCTGAAGAGTTCTCCAGAGATAGAATTTGTTGAGCTTATCTTTCCTGTAGTCTATACTCATGTTACTGCTGTGTACCCAAGAGCTCTTTAGAACAAATGGCACCACAGCCCCTCAGGCCAGATTTCCTAACTCACAGGCTCTTTGGTAGTCCCTTAGATTCCTCACCTTTTCCAGGTCAGCACAGCTGCCAAAGTCTTGCTCAGACAGGTAGCTGATAAGGGACTGTCCTTCTGAAGGTCTTCGGAACATGCCTTCCCCTGAGCACAGGTACTGACCACCCTCTGTGGGAAAATAGAATGTAGATGTGAAAAGCTCTGATTTAAAAAACAAATCTGTAACAGTCAAGCTTCTTTGAGAAGTCTGATGATTTTACCACTAAAGATGTTCCCAAGTTTTCCTAGGTAAAGGTTGGAAAGAAGATATTTACCTTCTAAAGGAATGTCTCTGAATCTCAGGATCGCAGAGCACTAAGCCTTTTGGTTAAAGAATGGTGGCACGAATAGAGAGAGCCTGGAAACAATTCTTTTAACACCTTTATTTAAGACGACATATTTGCCCTCCTACCCCACAAAAAAGAAAACAAAAAACCTGTGCCAAGAGTCACACAAGAAAACAAATGGCTTCCTCTTGTGGATGATTTCCATGTGGAGCTTGTCTTCTACTAATTAAGCCCAGACACTCAAAGGCCTCTTTTCAAGGTCCCTCTCACCCACTCAGAGAGCCATTCTATGTGGCTCAACATTCATGGTGATAACACCCACAGCATAAGAGAGGGTGGGACCTCTAAGTCAGAGAGAAGAAAAATGGCAGGGCAATATGATTTCTAGCACAGGGGTTGAAAATGATGGGAGAGTGAGGCTGTACAGTATGTACCCTCCACATAGCTGAGATGAGCCACACAGCTCAGAGCTTAGCAGGCACAAGGGGAGAGCAAAGACACAACTGCAGCCCTAGCCTTCCTAGTACTCACTTACCATACTCCATGTACAGAGAGCTGGGTGTGCTGACTTCACTGCTTGGGCCAGAGTAGGGCAAGTGGCCTCTCAACTTCGACTTATCATTGCAGGATTCTAGTGTCAGTGACCACCAGGGAGTAAAAACATACCAGGTGAGCAACAGATACATTCCCAACTTTGGATTTTCAACATTTAACTGCTCCCATTCCCAATGCCCTCCCAAACAGGAGAGAGGCGGCACACCAACAGGGAACAGTCCAAGAATGCAGGAACACATGGGGAAGAAAGGAGATGGGAAGTCAGTATATTCTAAGGGAAAAAGAAAAAACATGACCCAGAATGCAACACAAAGGTGAAAAAGAATCAAATGAAAGTGAATTCATGAATTTAGTTCTCTTTTCTTCTATCCTCTCACCAAATGTTCCAGGTATATTAGCCAAATTCTACCCTCTTGACAAACCAATATACAAAACAGTTCTCACATGGTAAAACAAAGATAAGCACATTGAAACTTTTCTGACAGCTTGACACTAGGTTTTAAAACAATATAGAAGGGTTAAACTCACTAAGGAAACACTAGGATATAGCTTCTCCTGGACCTGAAATGTAAATGTGTCATACCTCCAAATTTAACTCACTTCTGAACTGGCAGAAGTGCAAAATAAAATCCAGCAATGTCTTTCAAAGAAGCATAAGACAATGCTAGAGAAGCCAAGGATGTTGGCCTTGTAACCAAAGGACTATAGGCCCAGCCTTACTGGAGAAGGAAGGAGATTGCAAGAGAAGGCTGGCAAAGTAGGCAATGCGTGGGTAGAAGTTTTCAAGAACACTAAAAGTTGGGAGTGGAGAAACAGCAGCAGGCAGGGCTCACAGGAAACAAGAAGCTGATATTCTTCAAAGGAAAATACAAAATTCTAGTGTCACAGAAGGAAGAGCAGGCAGAAAAGCAGGTGGGTGCCTGAAAAATAAGCAGGATGCTCAGGAAGAAAGAATGATTGAGCTGCATCCAACCCATTTCCCTGACAGATGATGCCAACTTGTCAGCTTCTCCTCTCACAAAATATGTTACTATGTGGTGAGAGATAACTCTGTGTCTTCCTTGGGCCTCAAAGATTTTTGGTGGTCCTGAGTGGGCTCTGCTCCTCACAACTGAACTGAAGGCAAACCGGTAGTCACCATGATGCCCTGGTAAGAAACCATGACTTGGAAGGGACCTCTGAGGTCCAGTCAAACTCAGTGCACAACACAAACTCCAACAACAGCACCCTATTCCTTTAAAACATCTAAAGGCCATCCGGCCTTTGCTTACTGAGCTCACTACCTCCTGATGCTGCCCATTTAAATGAACAGCTCTAATTCTTAGAATTTCCTCATATTCACTTGAAATCTGTCTTCTTACAATTTCTCATCTCCTTGAGAACAACAACGCTCTTCTAAATGGCGGTCTCACAGACTTGTTCCTCTTTAACCTTCTCTGTTCCAAGCTAACGTACCTAGTGGCTTCACCCATTACCAGGAGACCACAGTTTTCAGTTCTCCCTCACTACGCTGCTGTCTTGCAGACACATTCAAGTGTTAATACCTCCATGCATTATAGTATGCAGAGTGGAACATAATATTCAGTCTGAATACCATTGTGAAAACCAAAGAAACAGACTAAGTCACTAGAAAAATCCTATGCAATGACTGGAATGAGGGGTGAGGAGAAACTTAGAGGGGAAGGAAGATGGGTGAAAGAAAAAGGAAACAAGGGACTCTAGGAAAGGCAAAAGACATGCACCCACATCCAAGACCACAGAAAGGGAAGAAAATACATTCTGGTGTTAATTCAAGGAAAACAAAGTAATCCATAACAAGTACTCAGTCTTACGAAAAATTCTGCCATGATTCATCACGATGCCTTAGACAAATAGCAGACCTCACTTTCATCTTTGGGCAAACAGAACTGGCAAGTCTTAACACTGCCTCCCAGAAGCAGTTGGGAGACTGAATGAAGCATATGGAAGTCATGGGCAGAAAACACATTTATGCAAAATATTGGTGCCATTTTACAGATAGGTCCAAACATCTTAGCAGGACCAAAATAGCCAGACTTGATTTGACACCAGAATGGAAAAGGAGGTTCTGAACTGAGCAAGTTGGTCACAGAGGGGCAGAAGGAAGAGGAGGTGGCACACAGAAAGGAGGACTGGCTCCCAAACCTGCAATGGGATCTTCAACTATAATGGTGATATTCCTGGGGCCTCCTGTATGTAGAGAGACAAGTGTAGTGTCCAGACAGAAGAAATGAGAATAGAGAGAGTGAGAAAAAGAGTGTCCTCTGATCTAGCAGATGTGGGGATTTAACTTTCGGGAGGGAACCCTGAGCTGATGAAGGGATGACTCATATAAGAAGCTGCACATGACCCACACCCCCTCACACTCTTGTTGCTTAGGTTTTCTCTGGCTCCCTTTTCCAATGCAGGTAGCTGTGGTTTCTGATATCCAGGTGGATTCAAGAATGAGGGCAGGGAATTATTACATGCTCAAAGACCAGTGGCCCAGAGTACAGTAGATATCAGGCTTGCAGCAGATGTGAAGTGAGGATCTAACCCTAGCACTCGTCACATCTAAGAAAGCTCGTGGGAAGACAGGCTTTGATTTGAAAATTTTTTTTTTTCTAAAGAGTTCCAATAAACCAAACCACATTCTTGACATAAAAACAGAGATAAAAGTTTGCCATTCAGAAATTTCAGAGGAGGGCATTGGCTCTCACCTTTCTAGGAATTACAAAGAGAAATCAATGGCAGCTCTGGTTGCTCAAGGAAATTTCCTTTTATGTTCTTAATTTTTAAAATTTATTTGTATGTTTTATTTCTGGGGCTTTCCCACAAAGAAGTTGCTTTGGGCACAAAGGTCCATGTTATACTGGATGTTATGGAGATTCTCTTACAAATGAAACCCAATCAAAGCCTGCCAGACACCAACAACCCAGGAAAGGTGGCAGGAAGATAGCAAAAGCAATGAGACCCACCTTCCCTGTGCCTAGGGTGCTCTCTGCTACTAGCAGCTGGTGTTTGTGTGAGGGAGGTCTCAGTGGCCAGGGCATCCTTACCTGCCTCTCAACCTGAATTAGCTATACCTAGTCAGCTCCACCTACTTGCTTATAGGTCTCATCACCCCACAGTCACTATATCTCTAGTTTTAAAGAGGAAACCCTAATATCATTTTGCCTTTCTCATACTGGTAACACACTCTGATCAAACGTCTCAGGAATCACAGGAAAGGGAGGAATTTAACAGGGTTATTTTAAAAACTTATTAGTACTTCCTGTGTCTGAAAGGTACATTTAAAACTTGAACTCTGATGAGTCGCACTATGCTCTAATGCTAAAGAACTAGTAGAAGAATACAGGAAAGCTTTTACCATTTAGCAATGCATAAAAGAACAAACAAATATTCTCAGAGAGATTCTTTGGGTATCCATATTATATTACTAACTTCTCTCTTTTGTTGTAAGCAGGATGCCATCATGTCATCCAAAACATAACTTCTCTGTCATTTGAAGACCCTTAATAATATACTGTCCCTAAATTCAGGAGGCCACATTACTAACTAGAGGCTGGTGATTATCATTTACCTGGGGCTCCTCTGGAGACAATGTTGGTATCTGAGTGGGAGCGAGTATGGTTCTTCTTTGTTCCACTGGTGACAGTGAGTATCTGCCCCTCTGAGAAGCTGGATCTGCGAAGGACACTGGAGAGCTGGCTCTGCCCACCACCCTCTTGGTCTACTAGGGAAGAAGCAGCAGAATCTGCTTTCTGGGAACTGCTGGAGGAGAATAAATTGGAGCTGCTGCTCTCAGCATTGCTGCTGTGACTTTGACAGCTGGCAGCGCGGCTTCGGGAGTCCAGATTGCCGATGGCCAAGTACTCAGGCCCCTCACTGGCATCACTTGGGGAATCATTCTGGCTGCTAACCCAGGATGATTCTACGGGGCTGGTCAGAGTGCTGGAGCTCATCTCATTTGGGGTTGAGGGGGAATCCCTGGCTAACACAGAGATCGGAAGCAGAGGGGCTTGGATGGTTTGATCCTCTGCTGAAGAGACATGCGCTCTGCTTTCTTGAGGTTTCCGGGGCGGGCCAGAGAGTGAAAAGGAAGTAGATCTTCTTTCTAGGATATAAACAGAAAGGGGAGGGAAAGGTGAACTGGAAGCCTTTGGAATATAAAAGGCTTTTCCACAACTAAGGATCAAACTCCCTATATCATTACTGGGTGCCCAGGATTCATGGTATCACCTCAGAAAAGGCAAGTCATTGAAGTAAGTAAAAAATTACTTAGAAGCAGCTAAGCTAAGAGCATAAGTTCTTGATACAGTGGCTTCATGGCTTATTAGAATGCATTCCTCATCTGTAAAACAAGCAGATAATAACACCTACCCTATAGGACTATCTTGAGGATTAAATGAGACGATACATATAAATTGATTACAACAAAGCCTGGGACATGGTAGGCACTCAATAAATGTTAGCTATTATTGCTAGAATGTCTCTTTGGCAATGTGGATTAGAAATCCAGGAGAATCTAAAAACATCTCTTTCCTCTGTTTCTTTAATGATTCCACTGAATTATCTTAGGTTAGTTGCTATATACCTTTTTAAGATGTCCATTATTAAGACATGAAGTTTGACAGACTGCACCAACCCAAGGGTCTATCTATATCCAGCCTGTGGGCACCCACAAAGTCCTCAGCTTTCCAGGGCTGAAGATACATGTCACGACTACCCTTTCCTATCCCCATACCTGGTCCGTGGTTGGATACGGATTGCTGGAAGCTAGAGAAGGATCCAAAGTAGGAATGCTGAGCATGGCTGGTTAGAGGGGTGTACGTGGAACCAGGCAGAGCTGTCAGGCTCTGGCTCTTTGTAACCAGCAGTGGACTCTCATGCTTTCTGGCAAACTATTAAAAAAAACATGTCACAGTTAGGGAGGCCCTCAGAGGATGGGCACTTAGCACTACAGAAACACTGGTAGAAGCCAGCCTTTGGCAGCCAGCTTGGACTACAGCCAGAGCCTACAGACACAACATAGCTACTCCCAAGTAGATGACACAACTTTGAAACCTCAAAGTCCTGCCATATACCACAGCTTCTGCCACGGGAATCCTCGATGATCAAACCAAAGTGCTTAAGACTATGCACATGGAGTCAGAAGTCACACTGGAATTCAAATCCATGCCCTATTATTTAAAAGCTATTTGGTCCAAACTTTGGGCAAATGACCTATCTACTCTGTCCCTCAGTGGCCTCCTACCTTATGGAGTTGTGAGAATTAAATGACATAATGCATGAATTATGCATAGCACTATGTCTGACACATACAAAGTATTCAATAGATGGTAACTAAGAATAAAAATTTTTAAATCAGGAGAGATAGGGGATCTCTCCCTAAAAGGAGTAGGGACTGTGATTCCATTCTACCTGAATGAAGCACTGATATTAGTAATGAAGTGAGTGAACTGGAGTTAATAATAAGCAATATCAACCAAAAAAATTCTCTTTACATTTCAAAGATAAAAATGATCCAGCACAACACTAGTCCATACTAGGTCTGATGTTATAAATTCTACTCCTTATCAAAATCATTCCTCTTCTCCCCAGCTCATTTGTCAACCCTGCCCTTACTCAGACTAAGGATTTAAAAAAGAGTTTAAAGCAGGGGTATCCAACTCCCGATCTGCGGACTGGTACAGGTCCATGGCCTGTTAGAAACCAGGCCACAGACCAGAAAGTGAGCGGCGGGGGAGTGAGAGAAGCTTCATCTGAATTTGCAGTCGCTCCCCAGTGCTAGCATCACCACCTCAGCTCCACCTCAGATCATCAGGCTTTAGCTTCTCATAGGAGCACTGGTCCCTGGTACCAAAAAGGTTGGGGACTGCTAACCTTTTTAATAAAGAAGTAGACACTTCCCACCTCAAACAGGCCTAAGCTCAGACTCTTTACTTTAATAGGTACTTAAATGTACTTCCCCTTCTTCTCTAAGTATTTTTTTTTAATTTAAGCCTTTCAGTTCACAACTGCCTAAATGAAGAAGTAGCCGGCTATGGAGGGTTACATCCTGGTGAGGTCTAGGAGGCTGGCACAGACACAGATAATTTCTTGCCCCTTTTACCATAGATGCATCAATCTGAGCCAGAAGGCGGGGGTTGTTCTGTTCCACTGCTTCTAGGCATTGGAGCATGGCCGTAACGTGGGCATCACTTAGCAGGAAAGCAGTATCTGGGGAGAGAAAAGCTATCACAGTGATGAAGTCCTGTAGAGAGAACTTTAGCTTCCTTGTATGACCCTGGAAGCAGCTCAGGGAAGGAGAGAGGGAAAAGGTAAAAATGACTTAAGAATTATGCCACTGTAGAGAGAAGGGGAGCCAGGTACAAATAAAGTATGGAAGAGTCTCAGTCATGTGCAGTATAGCAGAGGCCAGGACAAGAAGTTTCAAAGTCAGAAAGACCCATATTTGAATCCTGGATGTAGGTGACTTTGGCCAAGTTACTAACCTTCTTGAGCTTTGCTTCCCTGATTGGAAAACAGGGATATTAATACCCAACTCTCAGAGCTGTTGTTAAAAGTATATGTATAAAAAGTATATGGCAGTGATTGAAATATAGAAACTCGAATAGTTACTCTTATTGGTTTGTGTACATGGAAGTAGGGGAATAAAGTTCGTGCATTACGTGGAAAGTAAAAGAGAAGACTGGCTATGTGTTTCTGACTGGAACCTCTATGGCATCAAGTAAAAGTATGAGATCCTGTGATAAGAGTGAGTCTATAAAGAGTAAAATGGAAAACAATGAGGAAGTATATGAAACAACCTGGCTAAGTGACCTCTACTTACCTGTGTAGAATTTTCTGATATACTGTCTATCCCCAAGCAGAGGTCGGAGCTGGGCTGAGAGACAGTGGCACTGCAAGCTATGCTGCAGCCATAGCTCTGCAATGATACGCTCACTCACACCTTCAGTGCTGCTCTGGCCATTCTCATGCAGGCTGATGAACTAGAGGCAAAAAGGTATGAGTCGAAACATGTATACTGGTAAATATAACGAGACTGAGACCTAATGATATGAGAACTAAATTAAGACAGGTTAAGAGGAAGCAAATCAGAGGTATGTCTCCTCCAGCCAGCATCTAGAGGTTAGGTGAGGAAGGAGAGGGAAGGAAGGGATTAATAGCCTTGTTGCTGAACTGGGCCACTGGAGAGGGACTAAGCAGCTACATCTGTCTCTTTTCGTTCTAACTCCAAAGAGGCATCTATTTTGGGGTATTTAGAGGAAGGGTAAACTTGACCTCTTGCCTTCTCTCTCAGAGTCCTCTATTTCAGGTGGCCTTCATCAAAGAATGCAACAAAAACCTGGAGGAAAGGATTTAGGAAAAATGCCACCAAAGATTCTTCACCAAAGAGAAGCCATCTGAGCACCTCTTTCTGGCTCTAGTCACAGCATTCTCTATTTGGAATCTCCTTCTACTTGGCTATTTCTGAAAGCAAGGTCTCAATATCCCAGGATGAGTGCAACAAACTGCAATTTCAGGCAGCTTCTAAGAGGAAATGACTACAGCAATATATTTTATAAAAGGAAGTTAGAGGAGCGTTTGGTGGGAAAAATAAAATGAGGACAAAAAAATCTACATAAGAAGATCAATGGGCTCACCTTTTCTCACAAAAATGGCTAGCGTGGCACCTTGTTATTTGGTTCCCTGATCATTTATAAACAAATTATTTTTCCCGACATCATCTCAGCAATGAATCTGGCAGTGAGTGGGGTATACATGAAATAAGACTGGCCATGAATCAATAAGTATTGAAGATGGGTGATGGATATTTTGGGGTACATTACACTATTCCCTTTAAGTTTGTTATATATTTAAATTTTTCAACAATAAAAAGTTAAATAAATAGATACATAAATTTGGCAGTGAATGATCTGGAACTAGCTGTATAACACTGGCCAAGTCACCTAATCTCCTGAGACTCTGTTTCCCTGACTGGAAATGAGGGGTACTCTGCTGAGCTGAGAGGACAGAAGAGCAGAGTGCTACAATGGTAGCCAAAGCTGTTAGAAATGTGTTTGGCTCCATTTGACAACAGCCTCCAGAAACCTCGTATTTCTTTCTAATTGGTGCATCCTCTTCTCAAAGTTATCAGCATTTCAGTCCCAGTTCCCTAAGCACTTCAGAGAACCTCTTGCTATTTGCCCTGGATCTTGAACAGCTTCACTCTGGTCCCATATATGCAGATCTTTTGAAAATAACAAAACCTTTTCACCCCTTCCCCAGATGAATAAAAAGTGGCCTAGAGCAATAGGTTTGCAAGGTTTATTTTGTAAAGCAAATAATTTTCCCCTCCAAATCAGTCCTACATGGATGACTTCCTCTCCTCAGTTAACAGGAAACTTGACACACCATCCTTCTAGCCTAGGAGACTCTTCAGATAGAACATCAAACAACGAAGCCTTGTGGTTACCTTCACTTCTTACCTTCTCCACATGAAGGGCTGAGTGGGGACTGAGCCAGCGGATATCTTTCACAAACTGCCAGTAATTGGCTTGGTGGCAACACACCTGTTGCGGGAACACATATGGTGAACAAATCACTACCATTTTGAACCAGACTTAGTTCTAGTGTTGACATTCAAAGAGAGAGAGAAAAAAAAAAAAAAGCATAACTTTCCCTTGCCTGAACAAAGGTTCTCAGAAGCAATCAAAGGCATACATATATACATGTTCACCTTTTTAAAGGATAACTGTTTAAAATTATTTTAACTGTTCTTTGGAACAAGGAATACATATATATATATATAATACAGAAGGTGATACCGTGAAAATAATGTTTTTTACATGTCTCCACCATTCAGTTTCTTAGAAGGTAATTCTTTTTTTTCCCAGCTTTATTGAAATGAAATAGACAATTAGTTGCTTGTATTTACATTGTACAATTCAATGTTTTTTTTTCAATTATAGTTGGCATACAACAATATACCAGTTTCAGTAGTATAGCATAGTGATCAGAGATCCACATAACTCACAAAGCAATCACCCCACTAAATCTAGTATCCCTCTTTCCCATATTCATTACATTATTAACCATCTTCCCCATGCTACACTCTACATCTCCATGTCTATTCTGCAACTATCCATTTGTACTTCTTAATCCCTTTGCCTTTTTTTTGCCATCCCCCAACTCCCCTCCCATCTAGTCGCTCTCAAAATATTCTTGTATCTATGAGTTTATTTCTGCTTTTGTTGTTGTTGTTGATTTTGTTCTTTAGATACCACATGTATGTGAAATTATGCGATATTCGTCTTTATCCAACCCATTTCATTCAGTGTAATACTCTCTAGGTCCATCAAGGCAATACCTTTTTCCATCCCCTTCCTTTTAGTCTCTGTGTGTCTTTTAATCTGAAGTGAGTCCCTTGTAGACCATATATGTAGGGGTCTTGTTTTCTTATCCATTCAACCACTTTCTCTTTTGGTTGGAGAAGAGAATTTTGTTCTTTTCCAGTTGAGGTACTTGTTAATAGGGATGTAGTTATTACCATTCTTTATTCATGTCTTTGATATATGTTGTTTCTTCTTAAAGAAGTCCCTGCAACATTTCCTGTAATACTGGTTTGGTGTAGATAAATTCCCTTAGCTTATTTTTGTCTGGGAAGCTCTTTATCTGTCCTTTGACCCTAAATGATAGCTTTGCTGGATAAAGTATTCTTGGTCGTAGATTCTGGGGTTTCATCACTTTGAATATTTTGTGCCAAGCCCTTCTGCCCTGCATAGTAACTTTTGAGAAATCAGCTGCCAGTCTTATGGGTGCTCCCTTGCAGGTAACTGCTTTTCTCTTGCTGCTTTTAAGATTCTCTCTTTGTATTTAACCTTTGGCTTTTTAATTATGATGTGTCTTGGTGTGGGCCTCTTTGGGTTCCTGGTTTGGGGGACTCTCTGAGCTTCCTGGGATTGTATGTCTATTTCCTTCACCAAGTTAAGGAAGATTTCCATCATTATTTCTCAAATAGCTCTTCAAGGTATTGTTTTCCTTCTGGTACCCCTATGACATGGATAGTTTTACATTTAATAGTGTCCCATAGGCTCCTTAAATTATTATCATAGCCTTGACTTCTTTTATCTTGCCATTCTGATTGAGTGTCCTTGGCTTCCCCGGCCTCCCCCTCCCAGTGTCATTTGTTATATAGGTCATTTGATCCTCTTCTTTATTCACTGTTTATTCCATTTAATATACTTTTTATCTCAGATAATGTGTTCTTCATTTCTGTGTCTGTTTCTATGTACTAAACAAAGTTCTTAAGTCTCCCGGTCTTATTAGTGTGACTTTGTGAGGTAGGTGTCCAGTGGCAGAGTCCTGAGAGGGGTTCAGCTGCAGGCTAAACTTAGCCCCAGCCTGTGCCCCTCCAGGGCCATCTGTTAAGATTCAGCAAGCAATCCACAGATGTTATGCTTATAGTTGCCTCAAAAGGCCACAACAGAAACCACAGTCAGCTGCCAGCAGTGTGAGTCTAGGCACTGCTCAGCAAGGGGAACCTGACTTGCCAAGGATACACCTGGATGTGGCCTGGGTGGGGCCGCGAGTTGGGGAAGGCAGACTTTCAGGGAATCCTACAGGTAGAATGACCTCTGTTATCTAGTTTGATGATGTCTCAGCTATGGCGGCACTGAGTCTGTACACTGGGAGGGGGAGGGCTCAACAGAGGAACGATAGATACCACCAGCTCTTCTGTACAGAGCGAGTCTTGCCTCTGGCCCTTATTCTGACAACTCAGTGTCCCCCAGTAAGTCTTTGGTGTCTCCTGTTGCAGCCCACCTGGCGCTGGTGCCCAGAGCAAGCAGGTCCGCCACTGTAAAAGTCTGCTTGCGGACACAGCCCCTTTAAGAGGCATCTGCAGCTGCTGGCTGCTGTGCCACTGCTATGGACTCTGTCGCACTCAGCCGCTCGGACTGGGCAGTCTCACATTCTCGCCCTGTCCTACCTCCTTCCATAGCAGGGTGATTTCTTATTTCTCTCCTTAGTTGTAGGGCTTCTTCACCTAGATCCCAAGCAATTTTCCTTTCTGTTCGCTCCTTGTTTCTATCACAATTTTGATTTGGTCACAAGAGGGATGAACAGAGCCTCTATCATCTATGCTATTTTTTTCTCTCTCTCCCTAGAAGGTAATTCTTAAAACCAGTAAATAGTTATTTGTTAAAAGTCAGACAGGTATCGTCAATTCTTACTGCAAAATCAAGTTAAAAAAGACCTTTTTCCCATACTGCCTAAGTCAGGAAAGGGTTATATTTACAGTCAAAGAAATATTCAGTCCTAGATAACATAGTCTCACATAGAAGAGGCCTGAACATAACAAAATGTTTGTATCATGAAAACCTAATATTTTCTTTTGAGAATCCTTTCTGAGACTACTGGGCATGGGTTAAACTCAAATCTAAATAATTAAAAAATATAGAACTAGCACAAGTATTATGAGACAGACCAATCAATGCAACAAAATAGCCTAGAAAGAGATCTTAAAATATATGAGAACTTCATACATGATCCAAGAAGCATCTCAAAAGTCAATGGACCTCTCACCGAGACTGGAAAGGAGGAAGTGAGAATCAAAAATGTTAGATGTACAGACTATTTTGCCAATTACAGTCATGAAGATCTTTAGTATTTTGGCAGCAATTGTGATCTCTGTTCTGTGGCTTAGTGGATATTGAGTGGCCAGGAGTGGGCAGCAGTGAGATATCAACTCCAGTATATCTCCTAGCTATGTCACGTCTAACTAAATAGCATCTAAACTTGGTTTCCTTTCTTCAGAAAAAAATTTAGGCTAACTTAGAAATGAAATAAAGGGGCATCACTATAGATCCCATGGACACTACAGAGGAACACTATAAACAACTCTATGCTCACAAATTTGATAACCTAGGTGAAATGGACCAATTCTTTAAAACACATAATCTGCCAAAACTCATGAAGAAGAGATATCTAAGTAGGCCTATATCTATTAAAGATCAACAATTAATAACCTTCTAAAACAGAAAGCACCAGGCATAGATGGGTTCACTGGTGAATTCTACCAAACATTTAAGGAAGAAATTATACTAATTCTCTACAATCTCTTTCAGAACATAGAAGCAGAAGAAATACTTCCCAAATCATTCTGAGGCCAGAAAACCAGAAAAAGACAAGAAAACTATGGAACAATATCTCTCATGAACATAGATGCAAAAATCCTCAACAAATATTAGCAAACCAAATCTAATAATGTATAAAAAGAATTATATACCACAACCAAATGGGATTTATACCAGGTACACATTCCAAAATCAACTGCTGTAATCCATCACATCAAAGGTTAAAGAAGAAAAACCACGATTATAATAATAGACACACACACACACAAAAAAGCATTTGACAAAATATAACACTCGTTCATGATAAAAACTCTCAGTAAACTAGGAATAGAGGAGAACTCCCTCAAGTTGATAAACACCTATAGCTATCATCATACTAATGGTGAGAAGCTCAAAGCTTTTCCATTACGATCAAAAACAAGGCAAGGATGTCCCTTCTCACCACTACTTTTTAACATCATACTAAAGTCCTACCAAATGCATAACACACACACACACACACACACACACACACACACACACACACACACACACACACACAAAGGTATACAGATTGGGAAGGAAGGACTGCTTTTGTTCACAGATGACATGATTGTCTAAGTAGAAAAATTCAAAAGAACACACACACACACACACACACCCTCCTCTACCTCCTGGAACTAATAAGTGATTATAGCAAGGTCATAGGATACAAGGTCAATATACAAAAGTCAAACACTTCCCTATATATCAGCAATGAACAAGTGGAATTTGAAATTAAAAACACATTACCGTTCACATTTGCACACCCAAAAATGAAACAGTCAGGTACAAATCTAAAAAAATATGTACAAGATCTATATGAGGAAAACTATAAAATTCTAATGAAGAATACCAAAGAACTAAATAAATGGAGAGATAATCCATGTTCACAGACAGGAAGACTCAATATTGTCAAGACATCAGTTCTTCCCAATTTGATGTATAGATTCAATACAATCCCAAACAAAATTGCTGCAAGTTATTTTGTGGATATCAACAGACTGATTCTAAAGTTTCTGTGAAAATGGAAAAGACCTATTAGCTAACACAATATTGAAGGAGAAGAACAAAAGAATGAAGTTTTTCTACAAAAAGGACTGACACTATCTGACTTCAAAACTCACTATAAAGCTACAGTAATCAAGACAGTGTGGTATTGGCAAAAGAACAAATAGATCAGTAAAACAGAACAGAGAGCCCAGAAACAGACCCACATAAATATAGTCAACTGAATTGTACACCTGAAACTTACTAGATTTCATTAACCAATGTCACTGTAACAAATACACGGGCACACACATACACACACACACACACACAGAGTCAACTGATCTTTGAAAAAAGGAGAAAAGGGTGTCTTTTCGACAAATGGTGCTAAAACACTGGCCATCCACATGTAAAAAAATGAATCTACA